GTTTTGTAGCAAGGAGGGATGTCAAGACACTCTGATTGCTATCGCAGGTATGCACACGACAAAGGTGACTTGATTCAAGTCGGCCCAAAACCCGGAGTAATTGTTATCCTCACCCGGTCCCCAGGAGTGCCCTTTTACCCTTTTTGAGGGTTGGTTTCCCCTACTAAAATAGACTACAGAAAAAAGTTGGTACCCTTATTCTACCCCCTACTCCAAATACCAACTTTTTCTAATATATTGTTGGGACAACCTTGTTTTTCAAGGTAAATACCTCCTTTTCTAGTAGAGGACCCTTATTCTAAGCTCCACAACTGGAGACCCTAGCTCTGTCGTCGCAAGGCTCGTTTCACAGTCGGACCGAACCCCCGGGTCCCGGGGGAATCCTGTGTGTAGTTGCCTCGCTAGGTTTCAACCTTGTTGCATTTCGCAGACGGCTGTGAGGACTTGAGAAGTTTTTGCCAACTAATGGGTTTTCCGTATTAAACCACTAAGAGTTAGTCACTTTTAGCAGGGGAGCAGAAAGCAACCGAGTCAAGTCATGTTAACCCCGGATTAAGCAGAACCCCTGGTTGATTTTGATCGGGGGGTGTCCCGATTCTTTTAGTGGGGATTCAGCTACTTTTCGAGGAACACCCAAGAATGGGACAGGTTTATTAATCCTGGGTCAACATTAAATCTATTAAAGCTTTCGTGTTACCCCCAGTTGGTGGCTTGGATTGGTGGCTTGGATTTGGACTTGAACCCCACCTTCTCTGGGGGAAAAGTACCACATCCAAACCACCGCACCAAACGGTTCAATCCACCGAGGGGTAAGCTTCCATTTGCTTCTGATGTGATTTTTCTTGTTGGTGTTAAAGGAAATCTATCACTGTTGGGAACATCTTGTTTTTCTCCCTAATTTGATGGCTTTAGAGTGGTGGTTTGTGGGTTGAGCACCAGTTTGTACAGAACATCCAGACCAATGGGTGCCTTCGCCTTTTTTCAGTTTCCGCATGGATCTGGGGATCGGCCATTTTAACTTTAGAGCCTCTGGCTCAGTCCGCCGACATTGTCCTCTCCCTCTTCCCCTTCTTCCTCCCTCCCTTGTCTCCTCCCCCGCGTGTTCTGTCGTCCTCTCTCCCTCCCTCTGCTCCCCATCCTCCCCATCCCCCCAAGCCTCTCTCTCCTCAATCTCCCTGTCTCTGTCTCTTTCTGTCTCCCTGTCTCCTTCTACACAAAAAGGGCACCCGTATTCTAACCTCTCTACTGAAGGACCTGGTCTGTCTCTCTATCTCTCTCTCTCTCTCTCTCTCTCTCTCTCTCTCTCTCTCTCTCTCTCTCTTTCTCCGTCTTTCTCTCTGTCTCTCTCTCTCTCTCTCTCTCTCTCTCTGTCTTTCTGTGTCTCTTTCTCTCTCTGTGTCTCTCTCTCTCTCTCTCTCTTTGTCTGTCTCTTTCTCTGTCTCTTTCTCTGACTCTGGCTCTGTCTCTGTCTCTCTCTCTCTCTCTCTTTCTGGCTCTCTGTGTCTCTCTCTCTCTCTCTCCCTCTCTCTCTCTCTCTCTCTCTCTCCCGCTCTCTCCCTCTCTCTCTCTCTCTCTCTCTCTCTCTCTCTCTCTCTCTCTCTCTCTCTCTCTCTCTCTCTCTCTCTCTCTCTCTCTCTCTCTCTCTCTCTCTCTGACACCCCCCCCGAGTTCCCTCGAAGTCCGGGCACTGCCCTTTCATGACCCTGAACTGTCATCTCACGACTGGCTTTCCGCTTGATTTCCCTTCATGTCCTTTTCACGTTTCCCATGATGTCCTGGTCATGTCCCTTGCATTCCTTTCAACTCCCCCTTCATGTCCCTGCCATTTTCTCGGTATGTCCGCTTCATGTTCCATGCATGTCCCGTTCTTTCGTTGCGAGTCAGTTCCCTACATCTCCCGTCGTGCCAATTGGTTGCCTTGTCCTTTGTTTCCCTGTCATTCCCCCTGCACTTCCCTTGTTTTCATTTCTGTCCCTTTCATGTCCCGTTGCTTTCCTGTCATGTCGACTTCCTATTTCCTCCCCTCATTTCCTTGCACTTCCTTGCATTTCCCCTGTGCTCCCCAGCATTTCCCGCAAAGAATCACGGATTTTCCAGCGTTTTCGCAAAGAGGACGTCCGACACGCCGAGCGATGTCGGCGGATACCAGGGGGGGTCTTTTTACCACCTTTTGTGGAAATTGGATCGACCCCCTCGTAGTGAAGGATTCCTGTTTAAGGGGGCCGCCCATTTTCTGACAACAGGTGGCAAAAAGACCCCCCTGTTTAATGCCGATGGCTTTTGACATATGACTTGAATGAATGTGATGCAATGACTTCACTTTCCACGGTTCCCAGCCATCCGGTTGCTGAGCCTTTTCGGTTTTTTACTTGGTATACTGGTAGTTTCGACGACTCTAACCCACAAGTTCGTCATTTTGCTGGTGCGTTAAGAAGGGAATGAGAAATGGAGTGAACCTGGGGATTCCCTGAAAGGAAACCACCAGTTGGATGGCTTATAGTTTTTTCGCTGCTATACTGCTAGTTTCACCTGCAAAGAATCCAACGAAGAAAGGAGGGCCTTTCCCGAATACAGGAAACCGCCAGCAGGGGAGGATGGCTTTTTGCGTGGTCAGACTCCCCCTTACTTCCCAATACCCGCTTCTTTTAAGGGTATGATGTCGGCCCTCTACTAAAAAAGGGATCGGAATTTACCATGGAAACCCGATCGGCTTTTCAACAAGTACCAACTAGAAAAGGTGTTTTTTTGAGTAGGGGGAAGATCTGAGGACAGCTTTGGGATTTGAAGCAGCCACCAAATAGTTCCGGAGCACCTTGCGGCGGCGTGGGGTATTTGGAGCTTACGGGGGTAAAGGATTGGTATCCCTACTGCCCGGTTTGGTTGGCTGTGCGCTTTAGGTTTTGGGAATGAGGCCTGTGGAAACCTTTACAAGCATCTTGGGAAACCCATGAAAACCATGGTTGGGGGTAAAGGAACCCCTTTCCCAATTTTTCTCCACAAAGGGGGTTGGCCAGGCCCATCTTTGAAGGGGTATTTGGAGGTTACGGGGGTAAAGGAAACCACCAGCAAGGGACGCGGCTTGGGGTTTTGGAGATCCCAGCAAGGGACGCGGCTTGGGGTTGCGGAGTGTTTGTTTTATCCAACAGGAAAAAACCCTCAACAAAAACAGACACGCCCATGTGGATGTGGCAATTGGAGTAGGGGGTAAAGAAAACCACCAGCGGCTTGGGGTTTCGGAGTGTTTGTTTGGTTCTCCAACAGGAAAAAAACCCTCAACAAAAAGACACGCCCATGTGGATGTGGCAATTCGCGTAAGGGTAAAGGAAACCACAGCAAGAGATGCGGCTTGGGGTTACGGAGTGTTTGTTTGGTTCTCCAACAGGAAATACCCTCAACAAAAAGACACGCCCATGTGGATGTTGCCATTCGCGTAGGGGTAAGGAAACCACAGCAAGGGACGCGGCTTGGGGTTTCGGAGTGTGTGTTTGGTTCTCCAACAGGAAAAAACCCTCAACAAAAAGACACGCCCATGTGGATGTGCCAATTGGAGTAGGGGGTAAAGGAAACCACAAGCAAGGGACGCGGCTTGGGGTTTCGGAGTGTTTGTTTGGTTCTCCAACAGGAAAAAACCCTCAACAAAAAGACAACCCTCAACAAAAAGACACGCCCATGTGGATGTGGCAATTCGCGTAGGGGTAAAGGAGACGCGGCTTGGGGTTTCGGAGTGTTTGTTTGGTTCTCCAACAGGAAATACCCTCAACAAAAAGACACGCCCATGTGGATGTGGCAATTCGCGTAGGGGTAAAGGAAACCACAGCAAGGGACGCGGCTTGGGGTTTCGGAGTGTGTGTTTGGTTCTCCAACAGAAAAAGACACGCCCATGTGGATGTTGCAATTCGCGTAGGGGTGAAGGAAGCCACAGCAAGGGACGCGGCGTGGGGTTTCGGAGTGTGTGTTTGGTTCTCCAACAGGAAATATCCCAAAAAAGACGCGCCCATGTGGATGTGGCAATTCGCGTAGGGATAAAGGAAACCACAGCAAGGGACGCGGCTTGGGGTTACGGAGTGTTTGTTTGGTTCTCCAACAGAAAAAGACACGCCCATGTGGATGTGGCAATTCGCGTAGGGATAAAGGAAGCCACAGCAAGGGACGCGGCTTGGGGTTTCGGAGTGTGTGTTTGGTTCTCCAACAGGAAATATCCAAAAAAAAGACACGCCCATGTGGATGTGGCAATTCGCGTAGGGGTAAAGGAAGCCACAGCAAGGGACGCGGCTTGGGGTTACGGAGGTTTTTTTTTGGGTTCTCCAACAGGAAATACCCTCAACAAAAAGACACGCCCATGTGGATGTGGCAATTCGCGTAGGGGTAAAGGAAACCACAGCAAGGGACGCGGCTTGGGGTTACGGAGTGTTTGTTTGGTTCTCCAACAGGAAATACCCTCAACAAAAAGACACGCCCATGTGGATGTTGCAATTCGCGTAGGGGTAAGGAAACCACAGCAAGGGACGCGGCTTGGGGTTTCGGAGTGTGTGTTTGGTTCTCCAACAGGAACAAACCCTCAACAAAAAGACACGCCCATGTGGATGTGGCAATTCGCGCAGGGTAAAGGAAACCACCAGCAAGGGACGCGGCTTGGGGTTTCGGAGTGTGCGTTTGGTTCTCCAACAGGAAATACCCTAAAAACAAGACACGCCCATGTGGATGTGGCAATTCGCGTAGGGATAAAGGAAACCACAGCAAGGGACGCGGCTTGGGGTTTCGGAGTGTGTGTTTGGTTCTCCAACAGGAAATACCCTCAAAAAAAGACACGCTCATGTGGATGTGGCAATTCGCGTAGGGATCAAGGAAACCACAGCAAGGGACGCGGCTTGGGGTTTCGGAGTGTGTGTTTGGTTCTCCAACAGGAAATACCCTCAAAAAATGACACACCCATGTGGCAATTGGAGGTTACGGGGGCAAAGGATTGAAGCCGCTCCGCTTTTCGTTCCGCTCCGCCGGAGGTCCTCCACCATCTTCGACTGCCTCATCTACCGCGGCTATGGCCCGGGCACGCGGCGCGCGGGGCGAACATTTCGGGGGACCTCCAGCCGCAAGCTTTCGGCTTTGGCTCAAAACGGTACCCAAAGGAGTCTTTCAAAGGACCCTGAAGACATGGAAAGGGTCATCACCCATCATGGAAAGGGTCATGGGATCCCCATTTTTATTTCGGGTCCTTAGGGAGACTCCAGGTAGCAAAATAGGTTGGCCTGGTAAGTGGAATAGACCCAAACCCGAAGTTTGCCCCGATCGTTTCATTTGTAGCCACCAAGCGAAAACTCGAGAAGGGGCCCTTCTTGTTTTGTTTTTGTTGGTTTTGTTTACGAGAATTTGTGGTTTGTTTGGTTTTGTTTGCGAGAATTTGTGGTGTGCTTGGTTTTGTTTGCGAGGATTTGTGGTTTGTTTGGTTTTGTTTACGAGGATTTGTGGTTTGTTTGGTTTTGTTTGCGAGGATTTGTGGTTTGTTTGGTTTTGTTTGCGAGGATTTGTGGTTTGTTTGGTGTTGTTTGCGAGGATTTGTGGTTTGTTTGGTTTTGTTTACGAGGATTTGTGGTTTGTTTGGTTTTGTTTGCGATAATTTGTGGTTTTTGTTGGTTTTGCTTTCGAGAATTTGTGGTTTGTTTGGTTCTTTCTTGAATTTGTGTAGTTGTTTTTGTTGTTTGTTTAGGCCCGTTGTTTTTGTTTGTTTGTGTGGGTCCTTTTGTTTGTTTTGTTTAGGGGTTGAAAATGATGGAAAGAGCCATCACCTAAACTCTTGGTGACACCCCAGCTATCCGGGTCCGTTGGATTTTAGCTTTGGCGGTTGTTTCCTTTTAAGCCACTAAAAGTTAGGCCTTCAGCAGCTAGCAGGAGAACTGGGAACAGGCCAGACATTTGTAACAACAAAACACAACACTGGCTGCCAGGACGGGCTCGCACAATGTGAACAGTTGAGCGCGGCTGCATACCTGGACCCCCAAAAGACCCGATTCCCTTTTTCTGGCTTTGTACCGCTTTTGTCTGGGTCAAAGGCAAAAAAAAAGGGGTCTTTTGGGGGTCCAGGTAGTCACCAGTGGTGTTCTTTGTTTGTCCAACACCTGGCATGCCTGTTTGGAGGCTCCCCCAGCAGTGCCCTTCTCTCCCCTTTTTGGGGGGGAGGTTTTTTTTGGTTAAAACAGGCTACAGACAAAAAGGGCACCCTGTTTCTAACCCCTCTACCGGAGGACCTAGGAGGGGAGAGGGCTGTTTGAATGTTCACTATCCAGAGATGGCTCATGTATTTTCTAGGGCACGGTTTAGTGCGCGAAACAATAAGAATGCGAAACAAATCGTTGCTACCGAGCTGCTCCAAATACCTTTGTTTGCTATGATCTTTTGAAAAAACAACGGTGTCCAATCGTAAATTCCTCCTTTCTTAGAGGCTTGACATGACATGCCGTTGAAAATTTGGAGGTTGAGGATTTGGGTGGTCTCATTCACCGTGCATTGTCTTCCCCAGAATTAGCTCCCCTTTTTGCTTTTTTGATTTTTCTTGGGGTTCCCAAAATGTTTTCCACATTTTCCAGGCAACAAAGATATCATTTTGGCTGGGGTCAACTAATTCCAGCCTAGTTGTTTGAGCCTTCTGGGCATCTGCGAAAGCATAGCCAGGGCTCGCAGGCTTGCCAGGGGCCCCGCCCCTTCTCCCAGCCTTGCCGTCGCTCGTTTTGTTTTCTTCTTTTTTCCATTTTTGTTTTCTTCGAAAGACCCCGACGGTAGCTTGTTTTTCAAGCCCGAAGCTTTACCCAAAATCCTGCCCAAGAAAAAGAAGAAGGAACAAGCAGAACTGGCCGGATCTTGGATCTGGTTTCTATTTTTATTCACGCGCCCCTTAAACTTCATTGTTTCAGGCCCCCAAGAAGGGTTCAAACATCCTCATATTCACTCTGTTGCTTAGTGGTGCCCTTTCCTGAACGTTCTTTTGGGCTGTTGGGTTCCCACTCTTTTTTGAGCTCAACAAAAACCAACGCCGCCGATCGGATCCTTTCTTTTCTTTCTCATGGGATTCCACGGGAGTTCTTGGATGTAAGGGGCTTGAATCAAGAGAATTGTTAGTAAGATTGAATGGTGAGTGTGCCCAGGGAGTCCAAAGGCCTGAGTTACGGAGGCCGTTTAAACTCGGAGGTTTTTTACGGCCTTTTTACGGGGTGTTTACGGCCGTTAACAAAAGGCCTAAGTTACTCAGGCCGAGCAAGCTCTGGGGTGTATCAATATGCGGATTGAACATGGGGAACAATTGAAGGCAATCAACATGCGGATTCACGAATCAACATGGGTGTAAACTTGACCCCGTACTCCAAATACCCTCCTTTCTCTAGTTGGCATTTTTTTGAAAACCTGGTTTTCCATGGTAAATACCGATCCCTTTTTTAGTAGAGGGTCGACAAATCATACCCTAACAAAAAGGCCGGGTATTGGATGTAAGAGGGAATAAACATGGGCTAGGCCCCCAGTAGTGCCCTTTGACCTTTTTCGGGTTTTTGGGTTCATCTGCTAAAATAGGCGGCAGAAAAATCGGGTACCAACCTATTCTAACCTCCAAAACTGGAGGACCTAGCCCTTTTTTCGGTTTGACCGGAGAACCAAAGGGGAAAAAACCACCGTGTTCGGGGGGTTCCCCCTAAAAATAGCTACACCCATATGGGTCTGACCTGTTTTTGGGCCCTGTGCTCCATATGTTTTTTGTAATCTACATGGGTGTAAACTTGACTCGAGGAACTTGCACTCAGGTCATCGAGTTGCTGCCAGGGACCATCACCCCTACCCAGACGCTGCTCGGCGTCGCCAGGAAAAACAACTGCAGAGCATTATATTATACGGGGTGTGATGCATCCAGTAGGGAATGAGGGAATGAACTTTGGATGGCTGATAGGTCTTCAGCTGGTACACTGTGTAGTTTCGAACCTGCAAAGAATCCAACAAATAAAGGAGGGCCCCTGAGCATTGCGGGGGGTGATTGTTTTAATGACTTCAACCCACAAACCTGCCCAGGGCTCCTTAAAATACATTCATGTTGCAACCATTTGAAACATGGCTGGCTTTTTCAACACCAAAATAAAGTTGGAAACCACCAGAAAACAAGTTGCAATGTTCGATCGGTGTATTCACTGCATCCGGATCCCTACAAGCAAGAGCAGCCCAGCCTGCCAGCCTGGCCAGCCGAAAATCTTTAAAACCGCTCAAGCAACACCGAGTTTCTTTGTAACTTGCTGGCAAACCGCTCAAGCAACACCGATTCCTGACCTTCTTAGATCTTTTTCGTGTTTTCGTGGTAGTTTCCGAATTGAACCCACTCAAAGTTCGTCAAGCTGTTCCTGCCCGCCTTCCATTTGGTTGAGAAGATGTTAAACTGTTATATTCTCCCATCTTGGCTTTACTCACTTCCTGAGTTGATGGACTTTAAACTTTTTGGAAAGACCATTTTAGTGGTAAATAAAAAAAACAAGTTCGGGGCCTTTTTTTGGCCAATCAACTTGGGAAGTGAGAATTTAAAGGGAAACTATCACTGGAAATCGTTGCTTTTCCAGGCGGACAAAAATGGGTTGGCGAAGGTCGGGTTGGCCTCCGGCCTCCGAGTCTCGGTCCCAAGAACATGGGCATCCAAATGGGTGGCTCCCGAAACCTGTTTTTTTTCTCATTTTTTTTTTTGGCTCATGGTGGGCCGTGTCTCTCCACACCCAAGAGACATCCCCAGAGAACTCCAAAAAACCCAGAAAGAGCTAGAAGAGTCGCCTCCAGGGCTGAAGTTTTTGAGAACATCACGACATGTTGCGCCCAGTGAGCTTTCTCAGGCGGTTCATAGAACTAAGGAGCTGTTTTTACGAGAACTCTGTGTTTTTGGGCGATGTGGCCCATGTCCTGTAGGGTTTCCTGGTTTGAGGGGAAAATGTAACATGGAGCATGGGCATGGCTACACGGCAGACGCGATGTGTTGAAGCACCTGGATTCGTGGACGCGTCATATCTAGGATGGCTGTAATTTTCCACAACTATTGGCATTCCTGCTGTTGATGGACGAATTCCTGCACCACTTGGAAACCATGGGAAACCATTGTTTGTTGGCATTTACAGAGGAATCATCCTTCCAGGATTTCTTAGGTGGTGCGAAATAGATTTCGCAACCATCCACAGTATGGGTGAATTCGATTTTGGCAATCAGGGCACCAGAGCTCAACATGTTCAAAGTTCCCTTTGCTGCAAAACAGCCAATGAGAAGAGTCCCACCGAACACCAGAAAAGCGGGGCTGAGAAGACACACACAGACACACACTCATGTATAGGATTCCATGCCTGGTGATAAGGGCCCCGATGTCTACCTGGAGTCTTTTTTGTGACCCTTTAAAAATGGTTGGTCATGACCCAAAATCAGTCATAGACGAATTTTTAATTCGGGTCAGAACGAGACTCCAGGTAGCCTTTGGTCTTAAGCACAGGTAGATGTGATGTTTCAGTTCACCCCAGCCCCTTGCCCATATGAGGGCCCTACATATGAGGTTCCTTGAACCAAGCCTCCAGGCCTCAAATGAGGCCGTTTCAAGTTGGCTGCTCGGAGGAAACCAAGGGCACCCGTTTGCTTGAGACAACGATATACCTGGACCCTCACTCCGCTCACCCACCCACTCACTCAAACTACCCTATCAAAAAGGGATTTGGCTGTGGCTCAAATAAATGGAAACTGAAATGGCACCAACAGGTAAATGGAAACAAAGTTGGCCCTAGCTCCTTAATTTTGAGCACCCATTTCACCAACCATAATTTTGGGTTGGTCCGATTGGCTTTTGGCCACACCTGAACCAACTCGCGAGGGTTTTTTGGCTTTTTACCGCGCCGAAAGTCGATGAAGAAAAACGAATGGCCTCTGAGGGAATTTCGCACTACTTATAAAATCCAAAGGCCAGCCCCATTCCAACGGCCATATCAACAAAGGGCCCTTTCCATAAAGGCCAGTGTTTTTAAGGCCTTCTGAATCCCAGGGTTGTTGTTTTGTAC